GGATATGTAGTATTAGGTCAGTGGGGGGTTGCGGATTCCGTTCCAACTAGTATGGTTGGAACAGGCTTTCCGACATCCACGTGGACGTGCACATGCGTCTTGGTGCTTCGGTGAGCCTCCGTGATGCTCCAGCTGCTCTGTGGAGCGTTGCGCAGATGTTGTATGCGCTGTGCACATGCGCTGAAGCACTGAAGACATAAAAGGATGGTAAGCAAGGGCGGACGGGCCCTCCGGAGCACCGTACTGGAACAGTATCCAGTGCTCGGGCTGGCTCCGGTACTCCCGTACTGGGGCGTACCGCCTGCAACCCACCACTGTATTAGGTATATTGTTCCTTTATCATAGTCATCTGTTATAATGCCTAATAGAAATAATTCTGGCTTGAGCTCTATATGTTGTCTAACCATTTTTCCCTTTCTTTTTTTCTATCTTTACATCCATCCGTCTTTCCCAACCATAGGGATCGTTTTATTGTTCCACTTCAATGGCCAATTAGTTTCTCATTTTTTTCTTAAGTGCTGAAACACGGTGAGGGAATAAAGAGCCCAGGGTCTGCTCAATAACTGGTGGCTATTTATTTATTTATTTATTTATTTTTTCCGTTAACTCTGGAAATCCTGGGTGGCTCTGTGAGGCACTACTGAGGTGGGATAAGCCTGCTCCCAAAATTTGAAAGGGGAGGCCAACGGCTGTGCAGAGGTTCTCTCAGTTCTTACTTCGGTGGTGCTGAAGATAAGGTCACAAATGGAGTGTCATTTCTGAGTGTGTTAGGCTCTTGAGAGCCAAGGAGAGAGTAGAGGGAGGGAAGAACTATATCAAGTTACAGGGGAATCTTTGTTTCTAACTTTAGGCCCTTCTTCAGTTATCAGCAATGACGACGATTCGGCAAGTCCCCTTCATCACATCTCTAATGGAAGCAACACGCCATCTTCTTCTGAGGGAGGCCCGGATGCAGTGATTATTGGAATGACAAAGATTCCTGTAATTGAAAATCCTCAATATTTTGGAATTACAAACAGTCAACTGAAGCCTGACACATGTAAGTACATATTTATATATATTTATGTGTATGTATGTCTATAGATGTCTTCTCCATGTGCATGTAATTTATGATTGATTCCCCTCGTTTCTGATATTGATTATGAATGTTAAGTAACAGGCTATCCATATAACCATAAACGTTTCTTCAGATTATAACGTATGGGTTTAATAAATCTTATTTTATTAGGTGTGGTTAAGATTGCCCCATTGTTAATATTTTCAAATGGAATAAATCCAATATATGAATTCTAATTATCTTTTATTTCTTTGGCCAGAGAACAAATATTGACCTTTAAAGTTTAAAATATGTTTTTTGAATGAATACAATTGCATATTCAGCAGGTGAAGTAAATTTTAGTGATTGTTAAATCTGTTGAACAGTGAAGGCCAAATAGTGATCAAACTGTGACACGTTTTGGATGAAATCAGAGGTATTTGAGTGGATAAAAACGATAGTTGACTCCATAGACTTTGAGGTAAAACCAATAGCAGACATACACACATTTCTATCACCTATTCCCTTTTGGGATAAGCAGCATTATTTAAAGCATTAGAATCTGAATAAGAAATTGTGAGCCAAAGAAAGGCACGATAATGAAATAAGAACAATAAATAAAATATTACTAGTTTTCATCAATAACACTCTTGATGCATTTTAATATTTTCGTTCCTGGAAAATCATGTTTACTTCCACCGCATGCATCCACTAAATTGGACATGGCTTTTTTGTTCTTTCAAATTCTTACCTTTCTCTCTTTGGGAGGATTTCATCAGTTCCATCTGACTTCCTCTGTCTCCCCTTTCCCCTTTACCTTCTCTCTAGCATCCCCTTCCTCATCTCTATTTGTTGTGTTCATGTGTTCTCTCCACAGCCTATGTCAGTGATGGCGAACTTTTTTCTTATGGCGTGCCAAAATTGTCCGTGCATGCTATTGTGTGCGCACATGTGCCTACACGTGCCCAACCCAATTCAATCCTCCCTGCACACAAGGGTGTGTTACGCCCCCCCCTGCACACATGCACGTGTGACCCCTTCCCAGGCTCCAGAGGCTTTTCTTCTCTTCCTGGAGAGGGCAAAACAGCATCCCCTGCATCCCCACAGCTCCGGAAGCTGGAAATAGATCTTTCTGAATTTCCAGTTGATCCGTTGGGGCTATTTTTCGCCCTCCCCAGGCTTCAGGAAAGCCTCTGGAGGCTGGGGAGGGCAAAAAACAGGCCCAATAGGCCAATCAGAAGTTCCGGTTGGTCCGTTGGGCCTGTTTTTCACCCTCTCCAGCCTCCGCAGGCGAAAACGCCCCCCACCCTCTGGAAGCCCAAAATCAGCTGGCCAGTGAGCGCATACATGCTGGAGCTGGCAGCTGGCGTGCCATAGGTTCACCATCATGGCCCTATGTCTTCTGCAACAGCAATTCATTTTTGTATTCAATGCACACTCATTCAGGACTCATTCATTTCTAACCCTATTCCTTCTTTAGCACGCACCTTCTTTAGGCTGCCATGACCACTGTATTTGCCTTATTCGTATGTTATTCCTAACATACAGGTAGTCCTCAACTTACAACAGTTCATTTAGTGACCGCTCAAAGTTACAACGGCACTGAAAAAAGTGACTTATGGCCGTTTTTCACACTTACAATCGTTGCAGCATTCCCATGGTCACACGATCAAAATTGAGATACTTGGCAACTGGTTCATATTTATGACAGCTGCAGTGCCCCAGGGTCATGTCATCGGCTTTTGGAATCTTCTAACAAGCAAAGAGACACGGTGCTCAGTGGCTAAGATGCTGAGCTTGTTGATCAGAAAGGTCAGCAGTTGGGCAGTTCAAATTCCTAGTGCCATGTAACGGAGTGAGATCCCGTTACTTATCCCAGCTTCTGCCAACCTAGCAGTTCGAAAGCATGTAAAAATGCAAGTAGAAAAAATAGGAACCACCTTTGGTGGGAAGGTAACAGCATTCCATGCCCTTTCAGCATTTAGTCATGCCAGCCACATGACCATGGAGACATCTTCGGACAGTGCTGGTTCTTTGGTTTTGAAACAGAGATGAGCACTGCCCCCTAGAGTCAGGAACGACTAGCACATATGTGCGAGGGGAACCTTTACCTTTACCTATCAAGCAAAATCAATGGGGAAGCCTGGCTACTAACTTCACAACTGCAATGATTCATTTAACAACTGTGGCAAGAAAGGTCATTAAATGGGGCAAAACTCACTTAATAAACATAAATTTGGGACTCAATTGTAGTCATAAGTCAAGGGCTAACTGTATTTACTATCACATCCATGTAACTGAATGGGCAAAACTCACAATCTTTCATGTAATGAATTTAACTTCTTTGGATACATTTCCTTCTCTAATAAATTCACTGTTTACTATCTTTCCACCAGCATTTATACATCTTTTAAAAATTCCATCATGTCTTTAATGAATCTATTTACTCAGAATTGGGGTTTTTTTTGGCCATGCATCTTTAACCTACAATTCTTCACTCCATATTCTCTGTGGAAAACAACCACTATGATCTCAGACTTAAGCATTTTCAGAGCCATTCCACAGTCTAATGTTGAAATATCAATCAACAACACTGTATCATGTTGCATACATAAGTACACAAATATTCCCATCCCCAATGGGCACCATCACTGCAAGCATTTCTTTACCCACAAATACATTTGAAATACATTTAAACAACCATGGGAACATTATATATCCTTGGCTTAATCCTTGCTCAGTGTTGCACGTTTGTTAAGTGTCCTGTTTATTCTCATACATCCTTTACTTCCAGCACATATAATGCCTTTAATGCATTCAGGATCTAACCTTCAACTCCATATTTGCATAAAACATTCCATAGTTTAAGCCTACTCACTTTATCATACATATTCTATAAATCAACAAAAGTACAACTCTTGTCACATCTATACAATTCACAGGGTCCTGTGGAAGAGAAAAAGCCATTCAGCACAATTCCCCAGATTTTGCTCATGGTCACCAATATGGACAGAATTCCACACATACATACAAACATATTTGCAGGCACATTTGGCAAATCAATAAACTAATTTCCCCTGTAGTTGTGACATGCACATAAGTTACCCTTCGTTTTGTATAGGGGATGACAACTTCCTTCCAGTTTTTGGGCACAGAGGTTACCTTTGTGCACACTTGAAACAAGTTGCACTGCCATTCTGTAAGCAAACCATACCTGTAGTTTAATGTTTTCCCTCTTCACTCATCATTTTTCAACATTTTTCACAGCATTTCTGCTTTACTTTTTTTGGTGGGTGGGGATTGCAAACGTTCAGAGGAATGACATCCCATTATCATTTCCATGCGTTCTATCTCTTCGAATTCATTCCATTTTTTTTCCATTTAGTTTTTCGTTCAATTAACTTTGCTGCAGGCTCCCGATTTAGCTGTGTTCCATCTAGTCCAGGGGTGTAAAATTCAAGGCTTAGATCTAGAGCACAGGGCCACCCTGGAAACAGTGAAGGACTGGCCTATGGTGCCTCTGCCAGCAAAAATGGAGCTCAGGAGGACCACATGCAGCCCACTCGAACTTCGGTTGCAGGAGGCTGTAGCAGACAAAAGTGGAGCTCGCGGGCCTGTTTTCGGTGGCAGAGCACTCAGGCCACCACAGGCACTCCTGACACATGTGACATCAAGCTGGCCATGCCCAACCTGGCCATGCCTCTGCCCGAGATCAAACACAACCCTGATGTGGCTGTCAGTGAAATTGAGTTTGACACCCCTGATCTAGTCCCTCACAACATCTAGAAAGCAGATAATGACCTCTCCCAATGCAAGATTCCATGCAGAATTTAAATAGCTTCAGGAGAGCACTCAAGGAATCAAGGTCTGAACTGCTGTTCCTTAATAAATAATGGCTAAAACTGTCCAATCAGGAAGGAGCAAAAGAGTATCTCCTGCCCCATCCTTCACCAGGACAACAGCATGGCCAATCGTTCTGAACACAGCCAAGAGGTGTAATTGGAACAGGAAGATTTTTTTTTGGTCAATCGCATCCTTAATAAAGATAGATACCAAAATGTTTCAGTCTATAATCACATCTGAACCCTAACTTGAAAGGCATGTTCTTCACATAATTGGGTCATAGATCACTAACTTTGACCCATCACACAATCTTGGCTGCCCAAGGTTTTCAAATATTAATAAATAATAGATTATAGCCTTGGTCAAACCCATTGTATTTGCATCATTTCCTGATAACAGTATGAGCAATACTGATAGGTTTTGCCACATTTGGGGCAATAGACCACAAGTGTAACTGAAGCCCACTTCCCCCCCCAAGTGTGCTCATACTTGTTTATGTGCACCGAATCTCCAATCTAAACACTAACCTAGATTTTACTGTCATTCCACTAAAATGGAACCATATGCAACTTATCAGTGCACATCTCTAGTAAACTTTTAATTTATTTCAGTGGTATAAATCTACAACTTTATAAAATAAAAAATGAAACATGTATTGAACTGTACAGTATATCTTTACAGTTACCCCCATGCTGGAAGAGATATTACAGATTTGCTTATATTTCCAAGAGAAATTGGATCAGTGGCATCTGCAGCTCCAAACAGGCAAGGTGGTGGTTTTGAAACACAACTGAAGCCCTGCCCTTTTGTATATTTGTGTAAATCAATGTACATTCCAAAAGATTGGATTGGAGTGCCACAACTGGCATCGTTCCTCTTTTGACCACCCTGGTGGTTGATGCTAAATTGCACCAGCCTAAATTGCACCAGCCTAAATTGCACCAGCCTAACTGTAGTCAATGTCAGTGGATTCTCAATATTCAGTAACAGTGTTAGTTCACATGATCAATAGGTTAGTTGTCCTTTTTTGTAGAAATAAATGTTTTGCCTATTTCAATAGTGTTAAATATCCTAACTCACAAAATATATATTTACACTGGAAACAGAACAAATTATAAAAGCTGTATCGGTATGACAGATTTTTGACATATGCACTTAAA